TAGAGCAGGGCCTAGCAGGAGCGGTTTCTGGCCGGAAGCACCAGCCTGCTGCCAGCAGGGCAGCCCCTCACAGGAGGCCCATGAGGGAGCCCCAAGGCATGAAGCCTTGTTGAAGCTGTGAGCAGGAGGAGCGGCGCCTGCGGGCTTCCAGGTCTCCCTGACCTGCCTGCTCTATGCCCCCACACCCTACGTGCCGTGGCTCTGTGCAGTGTACGTAGATAGCTCTCGCCTGGGTCTGTACTGTTTGTCGTGAAAAGCTTAATGGGCTGGCCAGGCTGTGTCACCTCCAAGCAAAGCCATATGGAGCATCTACCCAGATACCCACTCTGCACACACTCACTCCCACCTCTCAAGCCTTCAACCTCTTGGCCAGATTGGGCTCATTAATGCTGTTGCCTGCCCATCCGCATGAATGACAGGCAGCTGTCCATGGTGGTCTGCCTGTGAGCTCTTCAAGTTCTAATCCTTAACTCTAGGATTAGCTCCCAAGCGCGCTGAGACCCAGCCAGCCTGCTCCTGGCACAATTCTGGACCCTCTCCCTGCCTCAATCTAAAAGCAGTGCCACACCCTCCGAAGTAGAATGGAAAGAAATTCATGAGTAAGGGCTGCAAGGAATTCTTATCCCGGCCACATGCCCTCTTCGCACACACCCAATTGAGTTAACCTTGGAAGTTGACTATTTTAATGTCTGCCAGGAGTTCTAATCCTGCCTCTGTTCCCTTTTCTCTCCTTGAAAGTCCAGCATACCGTTCTTGTCCTTCCCCAGTCTTCTCACCCTCCGCCCCTCCAGCTTCATGCTCAGTGTTGTGCTCAATAAAATGGACATATTTTTCTCTATGATGCTTCATTTGGTTCTTTCAAAGTCAGGAGCAGTTCAGGGACTTCTGAGCGTGTCTGGAGTACAGAGTGCATGGATGGCTGGGGTCAGTAAGGAACCAGCAGTTGTAGCTAATGTGCATACAAATGTGCATACAGCAGAGTATGCAGTGCTCCAGGCACCTAGGGACATGAGTTACACCATTAACTCATTACTCATCACAACAACCCCTTGGGGCAAGTTCTGTTGGAACCCAGGAAGTCTGGCTTTGGTGGCCATTCTCTGAATGGCCGTATCAGATGAGCATGAGTTCGAGCCCCAGCTCTGCCCTGAACTGCCATATATGCGACCTTGGGGAAGTTACTTAGCCTTTTGTGCCTTGGTTTCCTCACTTATCCAATGGGAATAGTAGCACTGCCTGCATCATGAAATGATGCAGATGATGTGCCCAGCCTCATGGCCAATAAATAATTAAAATGATTAACAATGATCAAGAAATTAATGTAGATAAAATGTCTAGCACAGTGTCTGCTTGGGCCATGGTTAACACACAAATGTCCACGCCATTCCATATCATCCTCCACCCCATCCCCCACACATATCCATTTACTTCTCTTTAAGACCCCAAGAGACACAGATTCTAGTCTTAGTCCTTCCTCTGGAAGCTGCATGAATTTGAACGGAACCTTCCCTTCCCTGGATTTCTATTTCCCCATCTGTAAACAAGAAGTTGAATCACTGCTTAGAGATGAAAACTGCTTGTCTGGTTTCTCAAGGGTAGAATCCATCAGGTTCTGGGGCACAGCGGCCCAGATTCCCTAAATCTGGGTACCCAGCAAGCCAGGTGGAACAGAGGAGAGCAAACCATGGGCTTGAACAGAGGAGTCCCCCACAAACCCCAAATAGGAGACAGAAACAGTGGCAAGAGTTTACCCAGTGAGGGGACACACCATTTTTCCTTGTTGAACCTCCAGGCTCTTTTCCAAAGATTTTTATTTGGCTTTTCATTTTTACATCACGTTTGTTAAGTTTTGTGTTTGGTCCAGGATTCTTCCCCAGTGGAGAACTAAAGGCGGGGGATACTGCCCAGCCCAGCTTCCTTGACTAAAGAGCTCCTAGTTTCAAAGCATGCCAATCTCCACCATCTCTGTCTGTCAAGAGTAACTGTCCCATTGACTCAGGCTCAGCTGCAGCTCAGGGTAATCTTACTAGCTGCACACCAGGGGTGGTCCAGGTTGTGCTTTGGCTGCATGAAAGACTCCTGGAGATGGAAAGCATTCCAACCCAATCTGCCCCCAACTAAAAGCAAAGGGGGCAGATGAGTAGGGAAAGGGGCTGGAAGCTGTAGCATCACTTGCAGGTGGCATAGTAGAGCACACGCTCATTGATGTGGTCACGGATCTGCTCCACACGCTTCTCCAGTCCTGTCAGGTCCGCCGAGCGCAGCATGATGGCCTGGCTGCCCTGCAGCAGCTCCAACTCCATGTCTGAGGCAAATGGAACAGCAGCAGGAGGAGGAGTTGATGGTGAGACTCCCAAAGACTCCCAACCCTTCCTTCCCCTCCTGCGAACTGGAAGTAGCATGTGCAGAGGAGGCCCTGCCAGAAAAATCTGGCCTCTAAGGCAGTGGTGCCCCGCCATCTTCATGCCTCCCTAGCCCCTATTCCATGCTTAGAAACCCAGCAGGGGCCAAACCCAGCAGGCCCCCACTGCTAACTATCCCTGGGCCCCTGACCCTCTGGGCTCTCACAGTTGTCCCAGGCTAATGAAGGAGGTCACAGACACCAAGATTAGCAACCCAGTGCTGTTGGGCTCAGACAGCTGCCATCCAACCAATGATCCTCAAGTAGGCACCTTGACAAAAGAGCTGGATGAGTGACCAGAATTCCTCCTCAATTTCCCTCCCCAAATGCCACTCCAGATAAATCTAGCCCTCCTCTTCCAATTCATTCTGTATACAACCACCAGATGATGCATAGAGGTTTGAAGAACTCTGGAAGTGACTCAGTCCAGCCTACCCCCTGTCCCTCTAGGCAGGAGTCCCTCTATCACATCCATGAGAGCTGGTACCCAGGCTCAGCCTGAACTTTTCCAGGAATAGGAAGGAAGCAGGCATTGCCTCACAAGGCTCCAATCTTAGGCAGCTCTGGTTATGAAAAAAGTCATCTTCTCATGAAGCCAAAATCTGACTGCCTCTTACTTCCACCTCTTGTCCCAGGTCTGTGTCCTGGGGGTATAAGAATATACCTTCTCTGTCCTCACATGTCAATCCTTCACATATCTGAGGCTTTATTGTCTCCAGGTTAAATATCTCCAGTTTCTTCACCTATTCCTCATCTGACATAATTGCTGTGTCCCACCCTGGTCACTCTCTTCCTGATGTATGCTGGTTTGTAAATATCCCTTCTGAAGATGTAGTAGCCATCACTTGAACACCATCCCCCAGGTGAGATCCCATCAGCAGAGTATAACAGTGTTATTGTTGGATTGACATTCAGCCAGTAGATACCCATATGGTTTCACAGGTTGATAAAATATTTAAATATGCCCATAGTAGTTGTTAAATAGCTGCCATTCTGTTCCTTGGTACTCACCCCCAAAACCCACCTCCCACCCCTGGTCAATGCATGATCTTCCCCCATTATCCTGCAACTAAAGGTAAATTCCTGCAAGCAGGTACCTTCCGGTTCCAATACTATAGCCTAAGCCTTTTCTGGTTAGTGGGTACACACCACTCCAGTTGCTAAATAGTCTACCATTACCTCAAGCTATTACTCTCTTCACTTTGGTTGCACTGTGTTTGTTAGCTCTTTGGGCTGCAGCAAGCATTGCTGGCTTATAACAAGCTTGCGGTAACTCAAAACTCTTGGGTCTTTTTCAGATGAGTAACAACTCATATTTGCTTATCACTTACTAGTTATAAAGTGGTCGCAGTGGCATTAGCCACTGAAAAGCCAGGCTTCACCTGAGCTGTACTTGTGGTTTAAGCCCAAACAAGGCCAGAGCAGGAGGTTACTTTCCTCTTTATTTAATTTCATTTGTTAGTTTCAGCCCATCTTTCTGAACTTTGGCTATTGCCTTAGAATACTGGTTCTGTTACCTGGTGTCTTAATTATCTGTTGTCCAGAGACTTGATAAATTATTTATCTTCATACAAAGTATTGGATGAACAGGACAAGGAAAAGCACTGACTTAGCCGCTGGCCCCTTCCCCTAGGTCAGCTCCTCTCACTTCATCCTTTGGGTGCAGCTGCCCATGGCCCCAGGTTTATTCATCGTCAACCCACCAGCCCAACCTTTTATGTGGTGCCCACCTGGCTATCCAACAAGACTTCTGCCAAACACTTTTGCTGAAATTCGAAGGAACTCTTTCTGTGGCTTTCACTGGATACACCACTCCAGTGATCCCATCATCATGTCTTAGCGATGACTCTAGTTCCCAGGAGCCCCTGTTCTCCTTTCTGAGAAATCTTCGGAACCCTTCCGAAAGCTACTTTCATTATGTTTCCATCATATTCAAAACCCTTGGATGTGCCCTACTGCCTCCTGAGCTATCTACCCTCCTCATCCTCACACGAGAAGCCAGGCGCAGGGACAAGTCATGTTAACCCCATGCCACTTCTTTCCCACCAGCTCCTCAGCAACCTTCTTCTGTCCCTATGTCAGAACATACCTTGTTGCTTCCCAACACCCTTATCCTAATGTCCCTCCTCTTCCTCACAGCTTCTCCCAGGCCTATATACATTCTTCCAGGCCCATCACAAATCTTCTTTTCTTACCTTCACTGAACATGTCTCTCTCAAATTATTTATGCTCTGAGCCCCAGAACTCTTATTATTCAACCCCTATCAGAGACCACCTCATCCTGTTAAATACAGTTCTATGCATCTTAAACATAAAGCAATAGGAAGAGAAAATATGACCCCACTGTTTGCAAAAATAGAAAAAATGGCCATTAAAAAATTAATGGCTTAATTGCGAGCTTTTTGAGGCCAGGTCAAGTCATGCGACCATCTCTGCATTCCCCAGCCTCATACATACTAGACGCCCAGAAAAAATCTCATTTGATCTCACTCCCATAGCACGGCTAGCTCCAATAAGAATGGGCTTCAGAAGCCTTGGGTTGGGTGGGACCAGCCTTCATGAATGCCCAGTAGTCCGTGCCCCTGAACCATTCCCTCACCTTTCATCCTGTCCATCATCTCCATGGTCTCCCCAAATAGCTCCTCTGCCTCTGTCTTCACACTCTGGATCCGGGCACCCTGTTCACCCAGCGTGGGACTCTGACCCAACCGGTCCTTCAACTCAGCATACTTTTGTTTTATTCTCTCAAATCCCTGAAAAAGGTAGAATAGTCTCAGTGTCATTGTCATCATGCAAGGTCCTAAAGACCTGTGGCCAAAGCACTTGATGTCACCCAAATCAACGCACAGTGGGAAAGCGCCTCCTATTAACCCCCAATAGAATTGGTTTTGCCTATTAAAACTCCTGAGTCACAGACTATGACTTAAACTTCTGTGTTTCCCTCTTCCCATCTCCAGCTCTTGACATGTCCCACCTCACTCCCAGGACAATGTTAGTCACATCATAGGATATTGATATTAAGCTGTCACATAGTATACTTAGCAACTTGGTCACTGTGCCAGGATTGAAAGTGCCAGTGTTCCTAGCCATAGGGGGAGCAGGTAGTGTGTGTGAGACACTGAGAATGGGCTCTTTGATCTTCTCTCTCATCTAATTCTGACAATCATGAAGCCCAGGTTAGGATAAGCAAAGAGCATCTGTCCAGGCTGGGGATCCAAGAGACAAGCTCTGGATCCAGTGTCAGGGGACCTGCTTTATAGATGAATCTTAGGCCTGTGAACAAGTCACCACCTCATCTGTAAAAGGAAAGGGATTGGACTGGTCATCTCCAATGTCCCTGAGCCAGCTATACCAAAGGCAGTGGAGGGAGAAATCAGATGCCTGGCCAGGTTTGGGTTGATTCTCAAGCCTCTTCTTGTTCTGTTATTCTAAGCACATTTGAGTTTGTGGTCTTATAAAGTGTGCAAAGTCCTCTCCTGCTCAGGACCGCCACACTGGCCATACATCGTTGAGCTAACTCTGCCTTCTCTGTACCTCTTGGGCACTCAATGCCTGCTCGCTGGCACCTTCTGCAAGCTGCTGGGCCTGGACTGCCTGTGCCCGCTGCTGCCGGGCTTGGCGGCGGAGCTCCTCCATCCGTGTCCAGAAGTCACCCAGCTGCTTGGTCATGCTTGTCACCAGCTTTTCTGCTGGCTGCAGTACCTGCTGAACCTTTGTGGAAAGAGGGAGATCTGGCATTTGTGGTGGGTCTCATAGGTGGGGGGTTCATCCCCATTTTTTCTCCAACTCATCAGGCAGCAAAAACCCTCTCCAATCATAACAATCAAAATTGCCCACCTCTCACTCCTGCCTTCTGCATCCCAGACACAAGATCAGAAAATCCAAGGCCCAAAGCCAGCCCAAAACTTGTCACCTTCCTGTAGAACTCCACCTCAGCTTTCATCTAGTCACTTTTCATCTAGTCACTTTCTGGCATTTTCTATGCCTGGTACCCAAATTTTCCTGTTTATGCCCAAATATAGGTGGAGGAAGCCATGATGCCTCACCTCAGCAACCCTGTCCTGGATAAGCCTAAGGGAGCGGCTGGTGCCTTGCATGGTGTCCTGAGCTTCCTGCAGTGCCACTGTGCCCTGTCGCAGGTTCCCAACCACATCCTCCACCTGGCCCTCCACTGCATGGGCTCGGCTCCTGGGTGAGAGAAGCATGAGGGAGAGGAGAGAGAGAATGAGTGAATAGTGAATCAATGTGTGGTTCGACTCACACACCAGTCCAAAAGAACACCCTTCCCAGCCAAGACAAAGAGCAAGGAAAGTATTAGCTTTGACGTCCCAGGACCCCACCAAGCAGACATGATGAATGTTTGTGTTATGCCTGAGACACTCTCTGGGCAGTTTCCAATACAGAAGACACAGTCACGCAAATTTTTTAACCTGCACTCTGGACTCTGTGTACCACTCCCCACCATTGTAAGCATTCCCTCCTGTCTCCCAGCCCTCTGCACCCCTCTCCCAGCCATGGGGTTGAGAAGCAAAACTTCTCTCTTCTGGGCAGAGAGAAGTTCAGGGCCCAAGGCCGTACCTGGCTTCCTCAGCCTCAGCCTGCAGCCTGCGGGCCCGTGCAATGTCCTGCTTGGTCTGGGACAGCACCAGGTCCACGTTGGGGAGCCTGGCTGCAATGGCCTGGATCTCATTCATCTTCTGCAGAACAGTAGCTGAGTCTGTGGGCAGCCACAGGGCCAGCACGGCCTCGCTGACCTCCTGGATAGTGGCTGCATCAGTGTCGGGGTCTGGAAGACAACCATGCATTAGACTGTGGGAGCCCACTAACCTCCCCAGAGATCCGAGGCCTCTCCTGGCTAAGCAGCACCTGTGGAAGGCAGCCATGGTGGCCCCTCTATCATGGTGTCCCAAGGAGCTGCTGCCCCCTCTCTCAACCAGACTCAGGTGCCTGTTCTCTGGAAATTTCTGGGAATGCTGTAGGAGGATGACTATCCTGTGCTCCATGCTGTAGCAGGGAAGAGGAGTGGGGGAGTGTCATCACAGCTGTGGCAAATAAGCGTCTGGTGCCACAGGAAGCTGCGGGCTAGGGAGAAGGAGGTGGTGCCAGACAGCTGGTACTGAACAATGCCTGCAGCACATGCACAATCAGCCCTAAATTGGGAAGAGTGACCAGAAACTGGAGCTGCTTCCTTGGCAAGAAGACCCCTTCCCTGCACTCCCCCTCAGGCAAGACTGCTCATTTTTGCAAAGGCAAATAAGAATGATCAAGTCTTTGCTGGAATATCACCTTTTCAGGGAGGCCAACCCCAGCCATCCAATCTAGAGTTGCAACCTCCACCCTAGACTGTAGCACACTTTATCATCCCTCCCTGCCTCATCTTTCTGTCTAGCACTTGCACCACCCAGGTACCAAAAACTGTACTCATCTAATTGTTTTTTTTTTTTTTTTTTTTTTTTTGTCTCTTTTCCTCTAGAATGTAAGCTCTATGAGGGCAGGGGCTGGGCTTTGTCCACAGCTATATCCCTAGACCCCAGCATAGTGCCTGGCACTTGGAGGTCCTCATGTGTGTAGAGTGAACGAATGATTGACAGGGCTTCAGGTTCAGATCTCTGCTTTACTATTCAAGCCACCTGGGCAAGTCAAGCGGTTCCCTAAGCTCAGTTTCCTGATCTGTGAAAAAGGAATATCAATCCCCAATATCAATCCTCAACCTGAAGGTACAACATGAAACAACCCATTTGCAAGAGTTGTTACAAACCAACTCTGGGTCAGAGAGTAAGGTCAGAAGTACAGAGATGACATCTGCTCCCTATCTATTCCAATTTGCTTTTACAGATTTCGCTGGTAGTGAGGTATTAAGGAGGGGAGCACCCACTCACCCAGATGATTTGTCCTGGGACCTGAACTCCTCCGGGGTCCCAGGCCCAGCCTCACTCTACAACTAGAGGGTACTAGGTGACCACACAGGTCTCATTCCCTGCCCCATCCCATGCCAGGCAGAAGGACACTCCTGGAGGGTGGAACCCATGCTTGTTCATTGCTATGTCCCTTGGGGGTTTGCATGCAGCGTTAACTGTGGTTGAGTTTCATTAAGTGGGTTTATCCCAGCAGCAAGCTTTCATAAGGACCTTCCTCATAGAGATTGTCGACCTCTCATCTAACCCAGAGTCCCACTCTCAAAGCAAGGCTTCACATGCAACTTCCCCAGAAAGCCTTCCAGGATGAGCACATCCCCACCTAGATCTGGCCCTTCCTTTACTCTGCACCACTTCAGCTGCACCCTTAGGCTCAATCTACATGACATTCAGTCACAGAGCCTTCTGGGTCTCAGGATGGGCTCAGTCAATATTTACTGCATTGAGCAAAAGCATGGGAGGAGTTGAGACTGCAAATCAAATTAAACTCAATACCTGCCTTTATGGAGCTGGAAATCTAATGTAGATAGGCACATGAACAAAGAAGTACAGCTTTGAGTGAGTGGAGTAAACACAGGTGCTACAGTGGCCATGGGAGGGGCCCCCAGCACCATCTGATAGGTCCAGGGAGGCTGCTGGGAGAGTGGGATGCCTAGGAGGATTCCTAGAGGATGAACAGGAACTAGCCAGGTCAGCAGAGGTGGGAAAGGGGAGACAATCCAGAGAGAGGAAAAACATTTGCAAAGGCAAGAGGCAAGAGAGTGTGTATTTGTGTGTGCATGCACACTCACAGGTGTGTATGGATGTGTGTGTCCATGCCATAATGCAATAGGATGTGGATGACAGAGTCAGACCATTAGGGTTGAAGCCTACCTGCACCACTGCTGAGCTGGATGCCTTTAGCCAAGTTGCTTAACCTCTCTGTGCCCAGATTACTTGTGTGCAAAGTGGAAGTAATAAGAGTACTTAGTTCATGTAGTCAGGAGTAAATGATGTAATACATGCAAAGCACTTGGGACAGTGCCTGGACTCAGAACTTAATAAGCCTTAACTATTCATTTTGTCAATTCCATTTGAAGAACTGGGAAAGGCAATGTTTCCTCCTCCCTTCACAGACTTTCCACTCTCCCTCCCACACCGTGACCCTACATCTGACAGCAGCCAGCGCTCAGAGGCTTCTGCACCAGGACTCTGGAGACCAGAGTCCGAGCCTACAGCTACACAAAATTTTCCTGGGTTTCTCCCTGGAGCCAGGCCTCTCTCAGGCCCTGCCTTTTCTCTCTGACCCTGGACTCATCATAAGACTTGACCTGAGATACAAGCATAAGACAGACGACAAAAAGGGCCTGGCAGCTCCCTGTCTGTTCACATGAGCCTGTTCACGGTACTCACCCAGCAGGAGAGAATTCCAACCCACCTCCCACCCCCTGAGGTCAGAGCCCTGGCTGAGATTAATGCAGGATGAGTAGCCATTCAGCGTCACTGGACTTGACTCAGGGTCAAGACTCCCTTATCCATGAGCCTAAGCCCCACACCTTGACCTCCCGCATCATTCACGTTTGTGGGGCACAATCTCCCTAGATTCCCAGGTAACATTTTCCCCAGGTGTGGGCCTCATGGCCTTATGCAAGTCACGACACCTCAGAAGAAGTCTCCTGCCCCTCTCTGACCTGCCATCTGCACTCAGGAGGGGACTTTGGCCTATCTGGGGCACAAACACGGTAATAGCAGCAAGAAGAGCCACTGTCATTACACCAAGCCCTAGGCTCGTATTAACTGGGCTCCCAGCCAAGCAAATTCCCTGGCAGGAACCAGAAATCTAACAATATCAACTCCTGTTCCTGAGGCACCTTTCCTTTTTCAAAACACGTTTTACATCAGTTATTTGATCCTCAGAATAAACTTGTGAAATACTACCGTCCCCCCATTTATAGAAGCAAAAGATGAGGCAAAGAGAGAAGCAGCCTGCCCAATGTCACACGAGTCTCCCGGGTCCTGTTTAGGAATCTTTCCATTGTACAGCCCTTCCTCACTCCCCAGGGCAGTGAGGAAGGGCATCTGGTTCATTTATTCATGCCACATATGTCAGATGCCTTTCTGTGTCTGGCCTTATGTTAGGTGCTGGTGACACAGTGGTCAAAAAGATAGACAACCATCCTTACCCTCCTGGAGTCCCCATTCTAGTGGAGTGACAATCCACTTGTCAACTGAATGAGGGTGAGTAGTGCGAGGAAGGTAAGACACCGAAGGGGAATGGGAGATGACAGGGGACAACCAGATCAGATGGTCAGGAAACACCTCTCTGGGGAAACGACCCAGAGGACAAGAAACAGCCCTGGAAAGAGGATTCCAGGCAGAAAAAGAGCAAATAAACATTCCTGAAGCAGGCAAGAGCCTGATATGTTCAAGGACAGCCAGTGAACAAAGCAGAGAGGAGCCCAAGGTCACTCCCAAGAGATGGACAGAGGCCAGGCTCTGTAGCCACGATAGGTGTTGAGAGCTCATTCCAAGAACAAGGTGAAGCCACTGAAGGATTTTAAGCAGGAGTGAGATGTGATCTGACTTATACATTTTAAAAGAGATATTTCAGTTGTTGTGTTGAGAATGAGAATGGGTCACGAGGGAGTGGAGCGAGTGGGAAGGGCAGATGGGAGAACAACAAGGTCACGGCCATGGTGCCAAGGAGAGGTGGAGGCCTGGAGGAGGATGTTGCAGGCCTGGGAGGAGGGAGGGAGGGCTGGCTGATGCACTAAACATGGGAATGAGGGACAGGCAGGACTGGAACAGCAGCCAAGGTGGGAGTGGAGACCAGACTCACCTGTTAGGAAATCCCGGACCTGCTGGATGAGGAGCCGCGTGCGTCTGACATCTTCCTCCATCTGGGAGCGGCTGGTGCTCACCTGGGTCTCCAGGCGCTGGGTATTGGATTGAATCTGCGAGGCTGATTCCTCGGCTGCCCTAATCTGTTGACACACACTCTAGGTCAGAAGGGATAAGGCCCCAAGGGGAATCTCTCAGCAGTCCCAGAATTCTGTGGATCATCCTCTATGCCAAGACCTACCTAGGAAGCATTTGTAACCAGTGCAGTTTCTATGTGGATGTCCAGTAAAAGAGAAAAAAACTATCTTGCACTTGCTGTGGCACCTTAAGCAGGTCACTAAAATCTCTGGGCTTTAGTGTAAAATGGGAACTCTGACTTGCCCGGGGGATCTATTCTGTCTGCCTCCTTCTACCTGTGCCCATCCCACCTTGGCCACACTTACCATCTGCCTGGTCCGCTGGAGCTGGGCATTGAAGCCCCGCAGCTGCTCAGCCACCTGCCCTGCCGTCCAGAAGGCCCCACCGGCCCTGGGAAGGACACCCCTGCAGTGGGAGCCACAGGCTGTGCCATTGTCATGGGGACACAGCTCACCAGGGCATGATCCTGGGGTGCAAGCCATCTGCCTGGAGCTGCCACAGAGCTGTAGAGAGATGGGGCTGTCAAAGAGGCTACCCAAAGCCCCTAAATAACCAATCCCACCCCACACCTGGGAAACCAACAGCCAGACATCTCCATGACAACCAAGCACCAGAAACTGGTTTCCTTGGCAACTACTGAGCTCACAGTGAGCGGCACAAGGGTCGGGATGGCTGGGGGAGTGGGGTTCTCACAGGGGCAGGTCTGCCCTAATGGGAAACAGGTGGCAGCAGTTGGTGTGTGACAAGCTGGGGTGTGGGCTCCAGGAACTGGGACTCCATGCCTCAAGTCACCTTGTTGAAGGTGGGTGTCAGGTCAGGCAACGAAGACATCTCCAGCCTCAAGGCCACAAGCTGGGGGCTGCCAGTGCCTCCTCCTCCTCCCGCCTGCTGCGCCAGCCTCTCTGCCTCTCTCCGGCTGTCCCTGAGCTGGTCCAAAAGGCGCGAGCTGTCGGAGACCTGCTGAGCAGCCTGGGCTGACTGCTCATAGGCTGTGGTCAGCATCCGGAAGGCTCCTGTGGCAAGAAGCGTGGGGAATGGAGATGGAGGAGGAGCAGGAGGGAGGGGGGCGGCATGCCCACCACGGCAGTGCCCATGCCCAGGGTTATCCAGGTGGCCCTCTCCTCACCTGAAGGATCAGCACTGCTTAGTTTTTCAAACTGCTCCCTCTTCCTCTGATACATAGTGAGGAGACCATTGAAGCTTCTGTCCAGACTCTCCAGGTCTCTCGGAAGGGACAACGTCTCCTCCTCTAGGGGCAGATCCGGCTGCAGGCCCTGGAGAGTTCGCCTGAGAAGGGAGAGGAGCTTACACTAAAATATAGGAGGGAGTTGTGCCTCCCCAGAGCAGCCATTCCCTTAGAGCAACTGCTACTGAGTCAGAACAAACAGAGGCCTTGGGAAAAGGCACCAAAACAGAGAATCCACAGGCTAAGTGGGTTCCGCTGGACAGAGGCTGAGCGGCCAGTACAACGTTTCTCCGTCCATGCATGGGCAGAGCCACAAAACTCTCCTCCCTTGACTTCCATGACCCAACATTCCCAATTCTCCTCCCCCTCTTCCAGCTCCTGGCTTCCATGAGGAGCACTGCCCTGATGCCCTCCTCCTTCTCTCTCTACAGGCTGGCTTCAGCCACTACCTGTACAGCTGCAGCTCTGAAATCCCTTCCACAGTCCACACATCCCACTCAGTTCCAGACCCCATCACTGCTGCCAGCTGGTCATCCCCTCTGAAGGAGGCTCGGGGTCCACCTCCCAGGCCCTTGGCCACTGAGCTCTTGGAGAGTCCTCTCTCCCTGTGCCCTTTGCAGCTCCGCCAACCCAACCACCAGCTCCCTCCTCCAAGCCTCACATTCTCCACCTCTAGGCTTTGATCAGGCACAGAACGCCCTTCCATGGAATGCCCCTCCATGCCTGTGTTTCCAGCCTACTGAACCTGGTGGACTGACTGCCCGAATCTGAGACCTAGTTCAGAAGGCACCTCTGTGAAGCCTGCCATGATACGTTATAACATGTGTCACATTATAGTTTACCATTTACACATCATTCTCCCCAGAGCAAGCTTCTCGAGGGCAAAGACTATGTCATATTAATTTCAATATCCCCGATGCCTTGTGCAATGCTTGGTTCATAATAGATGCTCTAAAATTATGTAAAGAGAAAGAAAGAGAGAAAGAGAGGAAGGAAGGAAGGAAGGAAGGAAGGAAGGAAGGAAGGAAGGAAGGAAGGAAGGAAGGAAGGAAAGGGGAGAGGGAGGGAGGGAGGTGGGGAGGGAGAGAGGATGGGAGGAGAGGGGAGGGGAGGGGAGGGAGGAAAGAAAAAAGGAAGGAAGGAAAAAAGGGAGGAAGAAAGGAAGGAAGGAAGGGAGGAAGGAAGGAAGGGAGGAAGAAAGGAAGGGAGGAAGGAAGGGAGGAAGGAAGGGGGGAGGGAGGGGGGAGGAGAGGGGAGGAGAGGGAGGGAAGAAAAAAGGAAGGAAGGAAAAAAGGAAGGGAGGGAGAGGGAGGGGGAGGAGAGGGAGGGAGGAGGGAAAAGGAAGGGAAGTGGTGGCGGAGGGAAGAAAAAAGGAAGGAAGGAAAAAAGGAAGGGAGGGAGGGAGGGAGGGAGGAGGAGGGGAGGGGAGGGAGCGAGGGAAGGAAGGAAAGAAAAAAGGAAGGAAGGAAGGGAGAGAGGGAGGGAGGGAGGGGGAGGGGAGGGACGGGGAGGGGAGGGAAGGAGACGGAGGGAAGGGAGGGAGGGAAAGAAGGAAGGAAAAAAGGAAGGAAAGAAGGAAGGAAAAAGGAAGGAAAGAAGGAAGGAAAAAAGGAAGGAAGGAAGGGAAAAAGGAAGGAAGGAAGGAAAGGAGGAAGGAAGGAAAGGAGGAAGGAAGGAAGGTTCCCAATATTTGCTTGACTTCCTCTGCTGGAGCCCCCAGCCAGAAGCTCTAGCACATCGTGAGTCATGAAGCCTCCATTTTCATTCTTCTTAGACTGCCTTTTCCCTCCCCGCCACTCACACACCTGGATGGCTCTGTGCACCATCAGAAAGCCAGTGCTCAGGGAATGCCAACTAATTATAGAAGCTTCCAGAACTGAATCTCACTAAGAAGGCACTTCTGCTGGTGGGATGGGGGTGTGGGCAGGACCACTTCCATTCCAAAGCCACACGCGGGTTATTTTTGGAGCCCCTGCCTCTCGGATGCCCTCCGCCAGGGTGACTAATCCAGAGCTGACTCCCTCCCACAGGCAGCACCGGGCACTTAAAAGGACGCTGGGCTTGGGCTCCTGGGCTGTGTTCTGAGTCCCAGCTCTGCCCTTCGGGGGCCATGTGGCTCTGTCACATCACCTATCTGTGCCGGTTTTCTCATCTGCAAAACCACACCAACCTCACAGGACTGTTGTAATGGTTGAAAGAGAGAGCACTGTGAAAATGCCTTTAAACTGTAATGTGCTGTACAAATGTAAGGAAGGACCAGTGTGCCCCGTACAGGAACCCCGGAGCAAAATTCTTCCAAATGCTTGGCAGGGAAAGGGAATTACCTGAGGGAGAGGATGGCACTGGCCACCTGAGCCACCTCCTGCTCTGTGACTGCAGCGCTGCTGAGAACTGCTCGGATCTGCTCAATCTTACTCTTTGCATCTAGGATCTGGGAGGCCAGGCCACGGTCCTCCAGCCCTGGCCCTGACCACAGGCTGGTGGTGGCATTGCGGAGGCTACCAAGGCGCAGGGCCTGCTCCCGGAGGTCCGCATCATAGGTCTGGAAACAAGGGTGGCAGGCCACACACACCGGGTAGCGGTTGCAGTAGCCTCGCTGGCACTGGTCACAGCGGGGCCCAGTCAAGCCAGTGCGGCAGAGGCAGCGGCCCGATGCCTTGTCACAGCCTGGGCCCTCTGTTCCCCGGAAATCACAGTCACAGGCTAGGGCCAAGAAAAATGACAGTCAGAGACAGGGGTCAGAGAGACAGAAGCAGCTGTCAGGGAGACCCTGAAGAGTAGGTCTGACCTGAGGCTCTTTCTACATGACTTAGAATAACAGAAGTCACAGCCAGAATAAAAACCATGGTAACAGCTGCAGTGAAAGCAAATGCTTACTTAGCACCTACCATGTGCCAGGCACCATTTAAAGTCACACACACACATTAACTCATTTGATCTTCACACCACTCTCAGGATTAGCACTCTTGTTTCCCCACTTTTTCTAGATGTCCCTCTCTGAGGGACAGAGAGGTTAAGTACAGCACACCTCTTTCTCAAAGGAGGAAACCGAGTCTAAAGAGGGGAAGCAGCTCCCTCAAAGTCACTCAGTGAGGCAGGGGCAGAGCTGGGACCAGAATCTTGTCTGCACACTCCAAGGCCTGTGCTCCTATGGTGACGTCAAACTGACTCCCTGGGAAATGACACCCTTTGGCCCTCAGGACTCACTTCCTCCATCTATGAAGAATGAAGAGACAGCCTACCATCCTTGCTGCTGCCTTCTGGGAAATGCTCTCTCTCAGGGAAGTGGGGAGCAAAGCAACTGGCATGTCACTGGGACTCAGGGACAGCAGGGCATAGGCCTGCCTCAGGGGCTTAGAGGCCACACCAATAGGCCAGAGTGTGTGCACTCACAGGGCTGCCCAGGCCCACACCACGTGCATCAATACAGGACGTTCTGCCCTGCTGCAGACCTACACGCCCCCACCACATGCCCAACCGCGTGCTTGGCCCCCACAGCCTCAGCGTCCCCCAGGCCTTGAGCACGCACCTCGGCATCCTGTAGCTGCGTCTCCATAGGTCCGGTCTGGACACTGGCGGATGGCTGCAGCGCTGCACGTCAGGCCACCAAAGCCTTCCCGACAGGGGCACTGCCCTGTGAACTGTGTGGAGAGAGCAGCGTCAGTGGACCCTGCCTCATAGCCTCTGCCTTACCCTGGTGTCAGGGACCGTGTCCTAGATTCCTGGTCCACAGGTAGAATCCAGGGCTCGTGGCCACCTCCAGAGCTGCTGTGCCCACAAAGCAAGGGCTCCCACTCAGAGATGAGCCTTGAAGTCAAGGCCCAGCGTGGGCCCTTCAGAAGGTGTGCTGCATATGGTATCACTGACGGCCAAGAGCCACAGCGGGAGGGACATCTAGTGACTTCCCCAAAGGAGAATGGGGACAGAAGATGCCCGGTTTGACAGGGGAGAGGCCCAGAAAGGCAGCATGGAGGGGCAGCAGAAAGGCTGGTGCTCAGGACCCCTCTCCCACTGAGGGGCCCCCAGGCCACCCTCACTTCGTACCTGGTTGCACTGGGGGCTGTGGGAGTTGTGTGGGTCGCAGGCACACGGTTCACAGCCCTGGCCACTGGCCAGCTTCCAGTGGTAGGGAGCGCACTGGTCACACTTGGGGCCCACCACGTTGGGCAGACACAGGCAGCGCCCACTCTCCTCGTCACACGGCATGTCCCTCCGGGACCCCAGGATGTTGCAGTCACAGCCTGCAGGAGGAGAGCTGCTGAGCTCAGGCAGACGCTCCATGAAAAACTCACCCTCAGAGGACACACATCCAGGGAGGGGCCCCACCTGGGAAAAGAACTAGGCAAGGCCATTCCCTGCAGATGACATGGCTGACTCACAGTACCCCTGTGCTGTCCCACCAGTTCCAGCAACCTGGCAGCTCAGCCGCCTGCCTGCCCACCCTCCATCTGGCTCTCAGTCCCAACTTCCAATTCGGACCTCTGCTGCCACCTGCTGGAAGCCAGTAGCACAGCAGCTGGTGCTGGGTAAGAGGCCAAGAAGTCCGGACTCCTGGCAAAGGCCTGGGCACACCCCCTCTGTCTACCCTGCAGTGGGATTTCCTCTGAAGAGAGCACAGTGAGCAGGGCAAGCCATGGGTCTGGTGGCCCCATGCAGCCTGCCCCATGTCGTGCTGGGCCGCGCCCCCTACTCACGGTGGCAGCCCTGCGGGTTGGCGTAGGTGAGTCCAGTGAAGCCCGGCTTGCATAGGTCACAGCGCTCTCCCTGCACATGCTCCTTGCACACACACTGCCCGGTCACTGGGTCACAGGGAGCCCCTGGCACTGCCCCATCCGGATCACACTCGCAGGCTGAGAGACAACAGCAGTCACCGCAGTAGGAACAAAGAAAAGTAGAATTCAGAGCAGATTCCAGAAGCCAGGCTGCCTAGTTCAAATCCTTGTTTCACCACTGGCTTTCAATTTCATAGCCTTAGTCAAGTTATTTAATCCCTCCATGCCTCAATTTCCTTGTCTGTAAAATAAAAATAATGATATAGCCTTCATAGGCTTCTTGTGAGAAATAAATGAGTGAATGGCCGGGCACAGTGGCTCATGCTTATAATCCCAGCACTTTTGGAGGCCGAGGCGGGTGGATCACCTGAGTCAGGAGTTCAAGACCAACCTGACCAACATGGTGAAACCCTGTCTCTACTAAAAATACAAAATTAGCCAGGCACAGGGGCGCATGCCTGTAATCCCAGCTACCAGGAGGCTGAGGCAGAAGAATCACTTGAACCTGGGAGGTGGAGGTTGCAGTGAACTGAGATTGTACCATTGCACTCCAGCCTGGGCAACAAGAGTGAAACTCCATCTCCAAAAAAAAAAAAAAAAAAAAAAAAAAGAGTGAGAGACAGAGAGAGAGAAATGGCTAAACATAAAGCAAGGGGAGCATATTGGCATATGCTAAGTACTATAGAAGGCGTTTTGTTGTCATTACTTACTGAGCAACTACTCTTGCCAGCCACTGAACTGGGCACTCTCACATGTTGCCTCATGGAATCTTCATGGTAATCCTGGAGATTATTATTCTCATTGTACAGAGGAGGAAACTGAGGCTCAGATATGTCAAATAACTGATTCAAGTTCTCATTAAAAGTTCATGCAAGAACCAGGGATCAAACTCAGTTCTGTCTCACTCTTCCCGGGAACAAACATCAACAGAAAGTGACTCGGCTTTCCCCAACCCTCTTTCCCTGACTTCTTTCAGACCTTTCAAAATGTAAGACCCCTTCATCCAGAAAGTCTTTTCTGACTAAACCTGCCCGAATTAGATTGCTTCAGTCCAGGCGGCCCTCTCCTATATGAAGTCGCTGGCTCTTGTGGACATATTAAGCTGCCTCTGCCTGTTGTCTCCCATTACATTCACAAATGCTCCCTGAGCATCAGTGATTTTCCAGTCAGTGTGCTAGGGCCAGAGGATGTGAGAAATAATCCTTGTCATGGAGGAGTTCTCAATGTTAGGAGAAACAGGAAATTAAATCACAAACCTCATTACAACATGGTAAAGGCGATAATATACATATGGAAAAGGTGCTTTCATCCTTCTTCTTCACAAGTGTATAGTTTATATCACCAAACACTGTGTGTGTTCCCTGATGGCAGAAACTGTATCTTATGTTTACTTTTTTCTTTCCTATGCCCCAAATAAAGCCCATCTATTGATGGTTGTCTGCTTGATGGTCCAGAGAGGTTAAGTGACTTGCTCAGTAATACTCAGCTAAATTAAATTAAAATAATCTCCCACAAATCCTGACTCACAGTCAAGTTTTCAGGCTCCATGAGGGCCTTGGTGTACCCAGAAACATGTGCTCTATTGCACCCAGAGCAGATGGGGAGTAACAGACAAATGACATTCTGGGTCTCCAGAGCCTCTACTCACGGATGCAGGTCTCCTGAATGGAAGCTCCCGGGCGCCGGTTCCGGAAATAGTGCAGCTGACACCGCTCACAGTTCTTGCCTTCGGTGTGGTCCTGGCAATTGTCACACACACCTCCATATGCCCCCTGGCTGGTGGCAAACACAGCGGGGTCAAAGTGACATGTCTCTGAGTGCCCATTGCAGTCGCACCCTGGAAAAAGAGAGTCCCAGGGCTGACATCTGACCCCCGCCTTTGCTGTCTACAGAGCGTGCTCCACAAAAGCTCATTGGCATCTGTAACAACTCTGCAAGATGATCAAGGCAGGGAAGTGGGGAAACTGAGGCCAAGGGAGGTTTGTATAATTTATTTAAGGTTACATGACCAATAAGAAAGCAGAGGAGAATAAGAACTGATTCTCCTGATTCCTACTGTTGGGATAAACCCAAGAACAGTGGCCATGTTGGGCCAAAGCAAGAGCCCTTTGAATGCTCTATCCCCAACCCTCCCACTGCCAACATTGGTCTCCTCTTGGGTCACTGCCTGTCTCCGGGATGAGAATCTCTGCTTTCCTCATTTATGTAAACAAAGTCCCTGATTCTAGGGAGCCATTTGAATTAGGAAAAATGACAACAGAAAACCAGATATGTCCTAAACAGGGTAAAGCAACTGGAGAGGCCAGAAGAAGCAGGCTCTGGAGATACCATGAAAGTCACATGGAATCAGAAGCATCAGCCAAGTCATGGTCCCTCCAGGTCTGGCTGAGGAGAAGGCAGGGGATGGTGGGAGGATGTCACCCAAATACTCTCTCCATCCTCACAGAGCCAGGAGAGCTTGAATTGTAACAGTGCAATTCAGTTTAGATTTACATAAGAAAGACTGGATCCCCCTGTGTCCCAGGTGAGGTCACTGAGGCCTAGAGGGGCCAGCACTTGACCCAAACCCTACAGGGAAGGGGTAATCCAAAGCTCCTACTTTGGCATTCATGGGTGTCCCGGCCCTCTGCAGGTCTCCAGGGTCGGTTGTTGTAGAAGGGCGCACAGCGTTCACAATTTGGACCGGCAGTGTTGTGCTGGCAGACGCAGACATCGTGGACCTGGGAGGGGGACCATCAGCCATCAGGAGTAATCAACAAAGAAGGGCCCCAGGGATGGACCTGCCCTCTGTGTACCACTCAGGTCTGGCTCAGACACCAACCCTTCCAGGATGCTTCCTCTGAATGCCGCAGACTTCACCCAGCACCTGTGAAACTGTCTGCCATTGTTCTGCACATATGAGCACACGTGTGTGTGTGCACGTGCTTGTGCCCACACTGCTCCCCTAGTGAGGTTTTTGCAAGCTCACTCCTTGCACTTGGACACCCCCGTGACACCCAATCAGAGGCAGCGCTTGGAAGGTGCTCAGAAACCCTTGGCAGACTATGGGATCCAGAAGCTGGTGGGGCCCTCTGGAGATTGATATTCCAACAATCTATGACTACAGTTGTTTGGCTAATGGAACTGTTGTGATGAACTGTCACTAGACTCATTAAGGTATAAAAATAGAACAGCTATTGTGTGCTAATTGCCTTCCAAATTAAGCGCAACACCTTCAGCCTGGCATTCAAGGACCTGTATCGTGTTAGTTGCATTCTCAGCTCCCATGCCCTGCTGACAGCACAGCAAGCTGAACTTCTAGCTGCTCCCTCTGCAAGCCCTACTTTCTCTACCTTTTGACCTTAACAATGGTTTTGCTTCTACCTAGAATTCTCTTCTCTCTGTATTCATTCGCAAAATCCTGCCAGCTAGGCTTCGGCTAGAATGGCACCTCTCTCATAAGGCCTCCGTGGTCCCTCTAATTCCACAGATCTCACCCCTGGCTGCACCTCAGTGTCACCTGGGGGGCATTTTTTAAAATGCCAAGGTCCAGACCCAATTCAGTCTGAATCTCAAGGATGAGGCCCAGACAGTGGCACCTTTTAAAAGTGGTGATTCCACTGCACAGCCAGATTTGAGGACCACTAGGGCTAGGTGGCTCCCTCCCTCCCTGTCATCTCATAGCATATTGTATTCCCTCTGTGTCACTCAGCCTTGGGTTCTAGGAGTATGTCTCATGGGCCCTGACAGATGACACACTCCCTGAACTGGGCTCCCTCTGCACACCTCTGCAGCCTGGGGCAGAAGTTGGCCCAGACGTGGAAAGAAGAATGCCAGCCGAGGCTTGTGCCACCTCTATTTCCCTCCCAGGCCATCTTACATGACTTCCTCCTGTCCCCCTATCACTAGGACAGCTGTCATACTCCCATTTTGGGTCTCTCTGCTTTTTTGCTCAAGGTTCTCTCTTCTATACCTGTGGTTCTCAAGTTTGGTTTCACAGCAAAATTCCCTGGGAGGGGAGGGCTTGTTAAACTGGAACTTCTCAACTCCCATCCCTGCTGAAGCCAATCTGCCTGGTCTAGGGTAGACTTAGCATCTGTACTAAACATTGGTCTCTCACCCTGCCCCCATATCTCACCACTAGATGAGACTTTAAAATCCCTAAACCAGTGGCTGTCAGACCTGGCAGTACATTCGAGTCACCTTGGAGCTTTTTAAAAACCAATCATAAAATTAGAATATCGTAGGGTAGAGGGCTGGGCAACATTTTTAGCTCCCAGTGAAATTATAATACATAACAAGGGTTGAGAATCATTGCCTTAAACTCCCTCCCAATTTCCACACTTACGTAAATGAAATGAAAATCATCTCAAATTAGGAAGCAGGTCTAAAGAAGTACTAAACAATTCTGATTTTTGGAACGAAAACCACTTAGATTTTTTGTTGTTGCTGCTGAAGTATTAAGTACCCAAGTTTTAGATTTAGTGCCCTTCCTGCTTTATGGGAGCCCCAAGGATGTCCGTAGTCTGCCCTGGTCCTGCCCCCTTCCTCTCCCTTTCCCACCCTAGGCTGTCACCTGCACGGTGGTGGAGGGGCCAGCAGAGGCCCCAGGCTTGGGGGCGCAGCGATCAGCATGGCCGTGACAGAAGCAGCTCCCCTGCAGACGGAGCTGGGACACGGCATAGTAGGCGCTGGGAGGGTGGTAGCCCCTTTGGGGCACAGGGGCCAGCCTGGTGAAGTTGACTCTCAAGTTTGTGATCTCCCCCAGCTCTGAGAGGACCAAACAGCAAGGAGGGAGGGGTTGGAGAATGGAAAATATAGAAAGGAAGTTAGAGGCACATAGTCTCCTTCATATATGATACCATGGGCCATCCTCTCCAGACCTCAACCATCCCACAGCATCCCACAGACAATGTCCCTATGGGGCAAACAGGGCAAGTATTAAATCCCCAACCACGTTGACAAAAACATGAAAAACCAGGAAATTCCCATGACCTGGGTTCCAACTCTGTTTCCTTTCCCACTCATAGTTCCATGGACAAGAGGAGGGGCCACACTGACCTTGAATTTTTTTACTTTGAGTTGCTGGAATCCCAGATGCTAAATCCATAAGGTTAAGTTGGACCTACAGAGAGAAGGGAAAGAGAAGCACTTAAGAAGAGACAAATAGTGTGCCTCGAGCTCAGAAGAAACCTTCCTTTCCATTATATGCCTCACATTTGAAGTCCTTGTTACCTGGAACCTGAGACAGACCATGGCTATGAGGCTTGTCAGCTGCTTTGGGGGAACAAGATGATCACTGGGCCATAAATGTGTGTGTGTGTGTGTGTGTGTGTGTGTGTGTGTGTGTGTGTGTACACCCTGCCCCCCAGTTGAAAATATAAGTATCCTAAAAATTTCCTGAGTTCCCTGGGTCAAAAAGTATGGTAAGATGTATCATCTATATATGAGGGTTTAGGAGATACTAATTTTCTCATGACTCAGGATGAGTGAGAAATCTAAAATCCAAGGATGCATGAATGTGGGTGACCACAGCACTCTGGACAATCCCAATTTCAACTATGCTTTTGATTTATTTTTTTTAAAAAAGCGATTCATCATCTACATATCCCAGGAAGAGTTTTCACATCCGCCCTCCAGAAGTTAGGAAACAGTCCTGCGTTCTGATCTGCTGTGTGAAGAATGTGGTTAACATAGATTTGGGTAAGGGTATAACCAAGGAGGAACTGCTAAACCCAAAGGAAGAGATGCATGGTCCGCAGAGAGGGCCCCACTCTGAGCGTTGGTCCACATGAGAGCAGCTCTGAGGGCTCACTTGTGTCTCAGCCAGGGAAAGAAGAGAAACTATAGCCTCCTCTGCCAGGGGATGGGGAAAAGCAGTTATGAAAGAATTTGATCATGTCAGGAGGACTTAGGGAGAAACATTCTGAATGTTTCTTCAGGCAGGTTCTTATTTCTAGCTCAGGGTTTAAGCTCAGGAGAATTCGGGCTCTGGGTTATACCAGAATTCCCTCCAAGGGCTAAGACTGGGTTAGATGGAGGGATTAAACTGAAAATGTTTATTTTTGTGTTAAACCCTACCAAGGTGAAATGAAATTTGTGTAATTTGCTCTTGCATCTAACTAGCCATCCCAAAATCCTCACACCAAAGTAGGGTCGATTTCATCTTCCCACTAGAGGGATGAGACAATGAGTCACAGGGGAGGGGGCTGTGGAAGAGGGCAGGGGTGAGTAAGAGAGCAGGGGTGAGTAATGCGGTGGCCCCAAGGTCTTTCTGAAATATCCCTCCTCAGAAAGAGGATAAGCAGCAAATGTTTTGAGGGTGGCCACAGGGGTTATTACTGGGGGGAATTCAGGAAAGTCAGCAAGGGGAGCTGGCAAGGATGTTTCCATTCCTTCTCAAGAGTCCATGTGGCTGTGTGAACAGTGGGACATCAGGGACTTCTCCCCAGGCCTAGTTTTCAGGATTCCCTCTACCTACCTTCCCCCCATTTAGGCGCGCATTAGGCCTCTGGGGCAGGGACTGGCACCGAACATCCTGCCAGCTCTGAGGCCGGCCCTGGCGGACCCGAGGGAAGGTGGAGGTGCAGTCAGCAGCCAGGTACTGGTACACTCGCCAGGTCTTACCGAAGTCTGAGGAGCGCTCAATCAGCATGCCGGCGGGCATGGGCCCCTGCGGAGACAGGGGCAATGTGCAGAGGGGAGGCGCTGGGGCTGTGCCCCATGGAGACACAAGCAGAGAGACAGGCTCCTCCAGTGAACTGGGGAGAAAGGGAGCCCAGCGGGAGCAAGTGGGCTCAGGAGCGTCCGGGTCCAAACCTCCTGGCATACCACAGGCCACAGAAGTTTCTCCCCAGGATCTGCCTTCCAGAAGGAGTGATCCCTAGGCTCAGCTTACCAGGCTTCCAGGCTAGACATTCCCCTGCTCCTACACTTCCCACAGCTCACCATTCTCTCTCTCTCTTTCTTTCTCTCTCTCTCTCTCTCTCTCTCTCTGTCTCCCCTCCTGGAACTCATGTCCAGCCTCCTCTGTCCTGGCCCTCCAAACCACGTTCCCCACTCACCAGAGAGCTCTTCTCAGGTGATTATCTGATCTTTGAGAGCTTCAATCAGTCTGCACTGATCTCATGATATAATCTGAGCACCTTAGCATGACATATTGAGTCCCTGCTCCTTCCTACAAAATGATTTCATCCATTTTTAGGTGGCTTTAAATGTGGTCTTCATGCTGACAGCTCCAAGCTTGAACAACTTCCTGGAACTGCAGGTCTATAAACTCAACTTCCAAAGCAGTTACTGAACCAGGCCCAGGCCTGTCTCTCCAGCTTCAGGGTTCCCTCCTGCCTGATCTCCCTAGTAAGCTTCATCTGATTTCCCCTTTCCCCACGTTCACTCTTACTCAGTCATTTCTTTTTTTTGTTTTTTGAGACAGAGTCTCACTCCATCACTCAGGCTGGAGTGCAGTGGTGTGATCTCGGCTCACTGCAACCTCCACCTCCAAGGTTCCAGCGATTCTCATGTCTCAGCCTCCTGAGTAGCTGGAATTACAGGTGTACACCTCCATGCTCTGCTAATTTTTGTATTTTTAGTAGAGACAGGGTTTCGCCATGTTGGCCAGGCTGGTCTCGAACTCCTGACCTCAAGTGATCCACCCGCCTCGGCCTCCCAAAGTGCTGAGATTACAGGCGTGAGCCACCACGCCAAGCTAATCTTCGTATTTTTAGCAGAGACAGGGTTTTGCCATGTTGGCCAGGCTGGCCATCTTCTTAAAACATAAAATGGGCCTTGTCAATCCTCTGCTAAAAATCCTCCAATACTATTCTGGAACGAAATCTGAACTTCTGACCATGAGTGAATAGGCCCCAGGCTCCCTGGGCCCTGCCTCCTCTCAGGCCACCTCCTCTCTTCAAGCCCTAAACCAAGCTCAGTCCCTCCTCAGAGCCTTTGTCCAGTCTTCCTACTTGGGATGCTCCTCCCACTGGTAGGTTCCCTCTCATCTTTTGTTCTCAGCTTAAATGTCATTTCCTGGTACAGATCTTTTGATACCTGACTGAAGTGTGTTCTCCTGCTCATGGCTGGCCCACCCTACCCTGCCCCATTATTTTCTATTTCAGCATCTTGTTTCCTTCAGAAACATCACCACGATTTCCAATTATTTACTTGTTGGTTTCTTGCTTTTTATTCTTTTCCCATGAGACCAGGATTTCTCAACCATTCTCACTGTTATAGTATTGAGCTGGGGAAATCTTAGTCCTAGGAGCTGTCCTGTGCACTGCAGCCTGGTGAACAGCATCCCTGACTTCTACCCACCAGATATCATTATATACCCGTAAGTTATGACAACCAAAAATATCTCCAGAAATTGTCAGCTATCTCCTGCATGAGAGGGGAAGGCAAAATAGTGCTCCTGGTTGAGACTTAGTATACCAGGCTGTAGCCCCTATTGTCTGTGGTTCACAGGTGGACCCCCAACACCTAGCACACCGGTGTTTAGCACACATTTGTTGAACAAATGGTGAATCTTCAGTCTGCTCCCCTCCCTCTGTGTATACCTGGAAACTCATCTCGCAGCAGTCGTCAGCCCTCCACATCCCCACCTCTTGCCACCAAGCACATTTTACCCTCCAGGCCCTGTGTGCATTCCCTTGCCCCCAGCCCCAATCATATACCTCACCTTCTTGCCGCCTGCCTCCTGGTCTTTGTGTTTATGGTTCTGGTTGCTTGGAATAAACATTGCCCTTCACCTGGCCATTACTGGTCTATGAAAGTTCATCTTCCCCTGGGTGTACTCCCTGACAAGCACTCCCAAGACAGACCATGCGAGAGCCCCGTCCTGGGCTCCCAGCACCTCTTCTTACCAATATTATGCACACATTGCACTCTCTCACTACTGACTTCCCCACATATGGCGAAAGCTGCTTGAAGATTGTGATTTGGTTTTATTCATCTTTATATCCCTAACATCTGACACCAAGTCTGCTGTGTAATCAGTGTTCAGTAAGTGCTCACAAATAATTGACAAATAAATGAACAGGTGAGTGATGATAAAGTGAGGAGACTATTTAACACTGTCCATCCAAATGAATATGCTGTCCTTCAAAGTTGCCACCTTTAGAGACTGGGCATTTATTCAAACGATACTTGCATTTCTCAAAATACCTTTGACCTTTAGATGGGGCGAGGCTCTTAGAGCCAACTTCTTCAGTCATGTAAGAAATTAGGTCCTATTACTTTTTATTCCAAGCTCATTTTAACTCCTGAAAGTTATATCTCCCTTCCTAATCATTTAATCTTATTAACCAAATTTGATCATTGAATATCTGACTATTTCTGTAGAAAGAATAAAACCAAATCATCTCCGAAAAGAGAAAATTGACCTATGGCAATTAAATGAAAATGTTTCCTCCAAAAGAAGTATCTAGAAGGCTGTTCTAAAGGCAGAATCTGAAAGTGCTTTGAGAAGTAATGGCACTGAATGAGTAGATTGCCCACCAAGATTGTTCCAAAGGAACATCCGTCAGTTAGTTGGATAGGCAAGTTCTTGGCTGCTTGTTAAACTCAATCTAATATGCAAAGTTATTAAAACAGAGTATACCAAGAATACACAAATGTACAACAAGCAACTGGGCCCAGTAGAATTGGTACTTGGCAGACTTGAATTAATTAGATGAGTTGAGGGTGGAGAATGAGAGAGGAAGAGGATATGCAACCACTGCACGACCAAGATAGGGAGCCTGGAGGTGCCACTGTTCACCCAGGACCAAGTCCTTTGCTGTCACCATGATATAGGCTCATGGTGAGTGTTGCCTCAGCCCAGAGAGACAAGGACACTGTGCTTCCCCATGGCTCCATGCCCATATGGCCCAGGAGCCACTCTCCTATCCGCTGCCACCCCCAGGAGGCACACCTGGAACTCCATCATGACTTCCTGAAGCTGGAATCTCCTGTCCAGGTCCAGCTGCAGAGAGACAGGGTTCACATCTGGAAGGACAAAAAGTAGAAACTGTCAGCCAGAGACCTTCCACTTCCCCAGCCCTGAAGGAAACCCTGGACTAGACTAGCTCTAGGAAGTCAGAAACTCTCTAACCTTGATTTTCCGAAGTCCCTCTTAGAGAGGAGTGGGAAGTGGTATGTTTCTGCTTATGTTATCTATTCAAGACCCTATCTGTTTTTGGCTAAGTTTCCTTCCCACCATCACCTGATGTCTTCAATACTTTGGAGGGCTTCAACTCGTCTGTTCCACACAGACTTGTTCCCAAAGCTTAATTCTGCAAGCCCACCCACTGAGACTGAGTGGAGGGAAATACAGACATTCCTCTCTCCTCATACCCTTTCCTTCACCTCCAATAAATTCTTCTACCATAACATCCAACGGACCTCAAATATGAGGCAGAAAGGTTCTTCTTGTCAATCACCCATGTCACATCACCAAAAGAAATGCCTGGAAAACCCAAAGGGTTATAGGGCACCTTCCATCCACCTCATCCTGTGGAGGCTGCACAGTTTGAGTCCCTGTAGATGGCAAATGCTCACCATTCTGTGACTGCCACCAGCGCATGGGGCCAGAGGATGAAGCCACATTCTCTACTCGGTGACTGTAGTAGTTGTGAGGCTGCCTGGAGTCACACTTGCAGCATTTCATCTGCCACTGTGGGAGAGGAAGACAGCAGACACTCAGAGGTGGAGTCCTAATAGAATTCCCCCTTGCGTCCTGAGATCCCAGCATATCCCCTCTGTGGAAATCCTGCCCTTAGGAATCACTAGTTTTATTAATACACTTTGAAGGATTAATCTCTTAAAACAGGGCTATTGGTCATCTTTTAATTGGTCATCTCTGAATTCCTTCATGTCCCTCCTAACACACAGCAAGTGAATGGTGAATAGATGTGTGAATGGAGAAGAGGTACAAGGTGGGAAAAAATACTTGAGTACATGACATTGCCTTGCAGAGAAACTTGAGGAAAGTGCCAACGGCAGGAAAAAAAGGGAGGGGGGGGCAGGGGAGAAATTCATACTAATTGAGCACCTACTACATACTAGGCACAGGCTGGAAAGTTTAATAGCTCACCTCATTTAATCCTGGCAGCCTGGGAAATTCTGGGGTTTTGAGGATCAGAGAGAGAGGACTCCAAAAGAAGACAAGGAAATGCGGATCTACAGTCCTAGCTCTGTCACCTCTGTTTCCTAGGCTTAACTTTCTCCTCTGTAAATTAAATGGGGATTGAGCTAGAGCTTTTCATTTACCCAACAAATGCTTATTTAGCATATACTATGTGCCAGACTCTACTCTGGGCTCAGGAGTTATAATAGGGAACAAAACAAAGGTCCTGCCCTCAGGGAGCCAAAATTCTAGCGACATTCAAATGATCTCTAAGGCCTTCCAGCAGTGACATCTGGGGCTTGAGGATCTTTCTCAGGTTTGGTATTCCCTACCTGCAGGAGACCAACCAGCCTCACTGGGGAGGTCCCCAATAACCTGGCCTATGCTTATCTCTTGGAATGAGACAGGAGCCAGAACTGAAACCCATGGGTTTCATGGCACAGCAAGGATCACCAAGAAAAACAGCATGGCCATAGAGGTGACATATCCCTTGTTCTTTTAGCTTGTGCCTATGTGCATACATATACACATACACACACGCACACACGTGCACATGCGCACGCGCACACACACACACACAGATAACGTGACCTTTTCTCAGCTCCCCCATAAAACACACATAAAATCTGTTTTCTTTGAGTAACCATGATCCCAAACCCTGTGCGTAGCTTAAACAATACTGTCCACAGGCCTCCAAATTTGCCAATAGATGCAAGGCTTGGACAAGAACCTCCTGGACCTGCAGGTCCTTCTGGGTAGGGAAAACTGTCCCTCCACACACCGTGTACCTCTGCTTTCCTCTAAGCCTCCACTCACCAGAACAAAGGACCGACCCAAAGAGTCTGAGTGGATATGTGGGGCCTATGCCTTGAGTGATAGAACCTCCCTGCCCAACACCCATCTTCCCTCTCCAAAGCTGGCACTGCCTGCAACAGGAGAGAGCAAAGAGGGGAGCCAGGTGTCTTGGTCCCCTGGGCCTCTGCTTACCACTCCACTTTCCAGCTCTCACCCGCTCTGCAAATGAAGAGAACTATCACCCTTCCTAGTGCTTGGAGGTGCCCTTGGCATGTCCAAAAATGCTTTATTAAACATTCATTGTTTGGGTGTTTAAGGCTCAAATAACAGCTGGCACATCAGCCCTTTAAAAAGTAGTACCCATTGGCGGGGCACTGTGGCTCACGCCTGTAATCCCAGCACTTTGGGAGGCCAAGGCAGGCAGATCACAAGGTCAGGAGTTCGAGACCAGACTGGCCAACGTGGTGAAACCCCATCTCTACTAAAAATACAAAAATTAGCCAGGTGTTGTGGCAGGTACCTATAGTCCCAGCTACTCGGGAGGCTGAGGCAAGAGAATCGCTTGAATCCGGGAGGCAGAGGTTGCAGTGAGCCAAGATTCTGCCACTGCACCTCAGCCTAGGCGACAGAGCGAGACTCTGTCTCAAAAAAATAATAATAAAATAAAATCTAGTAGCACCCATTGCCCCACCTCCCACCACTCACTATGCATTCCCTTGCCCTGCTATATTTTTTTCATAGTACATATCTACACTTGATACATTGTATACTTACTGTCAATTTATTTATTTGTATATTGTCTGCCTCCCCCTTCTAGAATGTATACTCCATGAGGGCAGGAATTTGCAGTCCTTCACTGCTGTATTCCCAGTGCTTAGAAAAATACCCAGCACATAATAGACCCTCACTAAATTCCTCTTGAATAAATGAATAGCAAATTTTCAGTAAAGGCCAACTATTTGCATTAGCATTATTACTAGGCACTTCCTTCCTGCAATTAGGGAGTTTGAAGGGAGGGGTGGAAGAGTGAGTAGGTAATAAAGCATCAATAGTAAGTGAAGTACAACCATGTGCAGAGGAGTCCTTGTAGTTTCAATGCAATACTTAAATCTCACAATAACCCTACGTGATAAGTAGTATTAGCCCCATTTACAGAGGAGAATGCTGAGGCACAAAGAGGCAACATGGCTTTGCTATTGACTGATTCCCACCATCAGCATCAGAAAGGGTCCCTCCTCTCCTTTCTCTCTTTCTCCCTTCTTTCATCCTCTCACTTCCACTCGAAACTAGTTGAGTGGCAAAGATGTGGGGAAGTATGCTAAAGGGTAGCAGTCTCTGTCTCATGCAGCGAGCCCCAAGAAGGGCTTGGTCTGACCTTGAAGCTTATCATGGGGAAGGCTAAGGCAGAGAAAGAGCACCTTGGGAAGAAATGGGGCTTCTCCAGCTGACTCAGCTCAGTTACCACAGAAACTGGAGACCTGTCGCTGGCTGAAATACCTGAGCACTTAAAATAATCCTTTCTGGGCAAGAGAAGGCCCTTGCTAGAGCCTGACTCCCCTCCAGACCCCTATTTTGGTCCCTGGCAGGGAGCATGCCCTTCTTTATACTCTTCCCAGCCTCTCAGGGACAAACTTTTCCACTCCTGTCCTCTGCCTGCACTCAGCACATGTCCTGAGAAGAGACGAGGGCCAGCTGCTTTCCGGCCGCCTGTCACCAGAGCTTTCTCCCCAGCTCTGCTGGGAGCTGGTCCAGCCCTTCCCTGGTCAAGAGAGTGCCAGAAACAAGTCTCTTTCTTTCCCTGGGCCATGGGACAAGTAGCTGGAGACTGCGGAAATGTCCTTGATACTCCCAAACGACAGGACATTATGTAACTATTAAAAACACTGTTTAGAGAAAAAAAATTAATTGCATGGAGAAATGATTATATTATGTTTTATGAAAAAAACTGGGCTTATACTTGCATATACATTATAATCTCAAATATATACGTGTGTGTGAATATATATGTATATATTTCCATTTAAAGGAATGTAAAGTATTTGGAAGGAAATATACCAATATATTAAGTGAAAACATGAAGTTGCTGATATTCACCCATTTTGACCTACAAAAATGGCAACTGCACACAGTTCAACCTGATATCTCTGGGTAGTAGAATCATAGATAACTTGTTTTTTCCTTCTCTGTTATTTTTTATTACGTTTAAACTTTTTGTTTGTTTGTTTGTTTGAGACAGGGTCTCACTCTCTCGCCCAGACTTTGGGGTGCAGTGCCACGATCTCTGCTCACTGCAACCCTCTGCCTCCCAGGCTCAAGCGATTCTCCCACCTCAGCCTCCTGAGTAGCTAGGATTACAGGCACAAGCCACTATGCCCAGCTAATTTTTGTATTTTTAGTAGAGGCGGGATTTCACCATGTTGGCCAGGCTGGTCTCAAACTCCTGACCTCAAATGATCCACCCACCCCGGCCTCCCAAAGTGCTGAGATTACAAGCATGAGCCACTTGCACCAAGTCTGTTTAAACTTTTATACCTTGGATACATATTAATTTTTATATTCAGGAGAGCAGATAGTATTATAAAACAAAACCAACTAAAAATGCCCAGGGTTTATTGCCCTGCTCCTCCCTCAGTCTTCATGGGGATAATCTGGGGCACCCATGCCTTCTTCTCCTTCCTTCCACGTGTGCAGGCACTGATGGCAGGATCAGATGGCATCATAGGCTTACAAACTACGTGCTGCTTATCACAGTAACATAGCTAAAGGAGGAATTTATCTCAATCCTTGGAGACAGGCTAAGCCAACAGGCGAGACAGGTATTTTAAGTAGCTCTGCCTGTCAACGAGCTAGCAGGACAGAAGCCTGAAATAGAGCAATTTATGGCAGAAGCCCACATGAAGACAAGCTGCTAATTTATCCTTTCCCTATGGGCCTCAGTTTCCCTTTCTGATTTATTCTTGTATGCTTATATGTAGGGTGCACATATTTGTAAGCATCGTGTGCGTGTGTGATTCTCAGTGTGAGGCTCTTCTTCTCTCATGTGTGATGTGCCCCCGTCTCTTCCAGCGATGGCAGCTCTCTGCTGCAGCTGCCTCCCTCTCTGGGGTCATTTGGCCGGCATTCTTCTGGCTGTGTTACCTCAGAGACACAGTACTATTATCAATTCAGCCTGTCAGGCCTCCAGCCACTTTGGCTCCTGCTTGCTCTCCAGCTGGAAAGGCTAGGCCTTCTCCCTTATCCTAGAGCTTTCTAGAAGCTCAGCAGTCTGGCTGGAAGATGAACTCTCCCAGAGAGCCAGGGAAGGGCAAAGGAGCAAGAGGGCAAGAGCCAGCAGGGGCCTGAATCACAGTGGAGATGGGAGTAAAAGGAGGGCACACCCAAGTAAAAACTCTGAGGCTTTGCAAAACACAGAGCTAATTCTGGGGGAAAACAGGAAAACAGGCTCTGATTATGTATGGCCCAGCTCCCTCCCATGAGGAAGCCAGAGGGCTGTCTGGGTTCATCTAAGAAGCTAAGGTTGGGTTATGGCCACCAGCCAGGGCCAAAAGAAAAAAAAAAAAAATCTAGCTGCCTTCAAGAAAATACATTTCCTCCACTTCCACTTTCTTATTGGTGAAATGGAAGGGTTGAATGAAATAATAAAGTTCCGTCTTGTTCTAACATGCTAATAGAATTCTTCCCTACTCCAGCACATCAGCCCAGAAGTTAAAGCCACTCTCAGCAAGTAGACAAAGAAAGCAAGAGAAAAATAA